GGCACACTCACGTCGGAGTTGACTGACAAATGTTTTCAACTCGTTCTTACAAACTTCCCACGTGGTCAAGGCGACTTCGTGATTTTTATACCACTGACTTGCCGTTCCTTCCAGTGAGAAGTAGATGTTCTGGAGGCGCTGCTCATCAGTCCATCCGTTGTGGAGTGCCACTCGGTCGTACTGCAGGAGCCAGTCTTCTAGGTCCTCGTAGATTTCACCGCGGAACGGCGTCGGCACGCGGGGGACCACAGGCAAGAATGCGCAGGACGACGCGGCTGGAAGGTTTTCCGTCTGCTGGGCCGGGGAGCTCATCGTCGGTTTGATGGCTTGTTCGTCTTGTCCGGCAGCGGTCCAAACTCAGGGCGTTGTCCTTGCAGACGCTGGCTTACCCGGGGCCCTGCCTCTTCCACGAATCGACGATGTGAAGTGGGGCTTGCCGAACGGGTCCTCGGAGGGGTACGGTTAAGAAACATAGGGTGCGTACCCCGCACCTCCACCAGATGTCACGGGTGGTGATTCGAAAACAATAAATAAACAGGAGGAAATTAACGTTCACTGGGGCGAACTTGTTCCCAAAATAAAGAGAACACAAAGAATAAGGACAAAGCGTCGCGGACGTCGAACTCGGCGTAACAGCAGGTTCGAACGCTGGGGCGAAAACTGACTCGGCTTGCCAGGCGGAGCCCCTTTTGTACACGCGTGGGCTTCTGGAACAATCGACGTAAAAGGATCGGTGCGCAGAACATTCTAAACTCGAATTAGCCGAGACGGTTTTCGAATTTACCAGAACATCACAACACAGCGTCAACAAAAATGTGTAGACGCGGCCAGGAATCGAACCCTGGCCTTCTGCGTGGAATGCAAGCACGATAACCGTTAGGCCACGGGCGCGCTTTTCTTTTTTCTTTTTTGTCTTTATTGCCAGGCTTTATTCATTCACAAAATACACCCTCAGAAGCACTTCTGAAAAAAGGTCAAGCTGACTTACGACTGACGCACTCTGATTAACATGATCTTAAAGTGACCAGTCCGTCTAAAACTGGCAACCAATCAGGCCCTTCTCCCAAAACCTTATACACTTCTCTAATCTGACTAATGCTCTGAGTAAAATAGTGACATACTGGTCGAGCATCCACATCAGCATGCCGCACTGCCATGCGGCTCTTCCAGATACTGTGTAAGCCAATAACCATAAGTAAATCATACGGTACAGAGTCGGTTGGGGCAACAGGCAGAAAACGTATCCCGTGTGCGCTTAGAGGAAGTTCCTTTTTCAGAGTTCGCTGCAGTACATCCCAGTAGAACACTGCGTCCCAACAATTTAAAAACACATGCTCTATCGACTCGGGCCTTTTGCACAAGATACAGTTCACAGTCCAGGGAACAAATATGCCCTTTTCGTCCAGCCATGTTTTAACCGGAAGCGTTCCGCTGTGAAGTTGAAAGAAAAAGGTTTTCATTGTGGCCGGGACCAGCATTTTCTTAACGCGTCGAAGTACATCCTTTCCTGAAGTCTCGCTGTAAATAGCTCGATACAAAGGGGTTGGAAATGACGTTTCTATTAGATTTCTTGTAAGTCGCTTTCGAGAGACAGTACTGAGATATTCTAAAGAGAAACGCGTGGTTAAAAATTTGTATGCACCGACAACTTCCTTCAAATAAGCACTCAGTGGTCCCGTAGCACCATCACTGGATGAAACGATGAAATTGGGTAAGACACCCGACAATTGAACCTGAAGAACAGTACGCAGAAATGGATCCTCTTGATCACGCAGGAAAAGAAAACGGTTAACAATTTAGCGCATGAAAAGATGTGATAAAGAAAGACCACCATGCCGTACGCGCCGAAACAAATTCATCCGGCTGACGCGCTCCCAGCTGGACGCCCACACATATACAGCGAATACACGATGCAACTTCTGAATGTGAAATCGAGAACAATGCAAGACCTGTAGAAGATACCACAGCTTAGCGACAAAAAATGAGTTACACACTGTAGTACTCGCGAAAATAGACAAATGGCGGCCTGCACTGGGGGCCGCTTTCTCGCGCAGCCTATTTGTCTCTTCGCTCCACAGACCCGCGCTGTCACGATAGTATTCCAATGGTACGCCAAGATAACGGGTGGGAAGGGTTGACCAGGCAATTTGAGCGAGAAAGTTTGGCTTAGATGCCCATCGGCCGTGCCAAAACCCCGAACATTTCGACCACTTCACTGAACATCCGGTCCGAGTACAAAACGTTTTGGTGATTTCGATGTCTTTTTCAATACTCTCGCTATCTGTGCAAAAAATAGCAATGTCGTCCGCATAAGCCAAAATGTGTATCTCGCGCGCATTCAAGGTAAAACCGCGAACATGTTCACTCCGAATGATACTTAAGCAGTATGGTTCAATATACAACGCAAACAGTAGTGGCGAGAGCGGACAGCCTTGTCTAACAGACGATTTGACAGGAATGCGTTCACTGACTCGCTTATTAACAATAAGACTCGTTGTACAATTATAATATGCCATTTGCACACCTTCAAGAATAATAGGTCCTATATCGATATGCTTCAAAATTTGGCTTAAAACGTCATGAGACACCCGATCGAAGGCCTTTTCCAAGTCAATTTGTAACATGGCGACTTTGCGCAGCTCACCGTCACAACACTCCAACATACTGCGCGCAACATGAATGTTGGTCCAAATAGTCCGACCCTGTATGCCGCATGTCTGATGAGGCCCAACAACACTCGTTATCACACGCTGCAAGCGGCGAGCGAGGACTTTCATTAGTATTTTATAGTCAACATTAGTAAGGCTTATTGGACGGTAGGAGTTAACACTGCGAAGCTTAACGGGATCGTCACACTTTGGGATTAACACTGTGTGTGTGCGTGAAAAGGAGGGGGGGGGGGGAGAGCTTTTCTTTCATATGCCTCGGTGAAAACTTCGAGTAACACGGATGAAATTTCATGTTTAAATGTTTTGTAAACACCAGCAATTAAGCCATCTGGCCCAGGCGATTTTCCAGGTTTTTAAGTCATCTATCGCTTTTGTTACCTCTGACAAGCTGATTGGTTCCTCTAAAAAGTCCTTATCGTTTCCGTCAACCTTCGGCAGTAGAGGCAGAAAGTCGTCTTTAAATCCTGACAGTGGTGGGGCGCTACAACTAAACAGCTTTTTATAGTGCTGAACAAACGCCTCTTCGATATGAGCACGCGGCGTCGGTGCAAGGCACGGGAGCAGGGCACCTTGCTGCCCATTGCCGCACGTGCGGGTGCAGGCCACAGTTTAGTAGCGTCTCCATTATGAACAGACACAGGAATGCTTTCGCGTGCGAGATCCTCGAGGCCCTGGCCATTGAGCAAACCGGCGACGACTGCCTGAGCATGCCCTCCATCACGGTCAGCAAGAAAGAAAGGCAGTGTTTGCAGTGTGGCACGGCGCCGTGAAAGGGACTAGGAGGGACATGTTTCGGCGGTGGTCTGTGGGTTGTACCAAAATTAATAATTAATAATTTAATGTAATTAATTAGTTTCAATTTTAATTTAATATTATTTAATTAGTATCTTCATTTATTAGTATACTGTAAGGATTTAGGGTCATTCATTGGCATTACTTTAGGTGTGAATTTGTGGGTCACAGTGAAGAAGAAGAAATATAAAGTCTTAGTTGATAGTCAGCGGTGTGTATGTCTCTGTTTCTACCTGTCTGTGTTTGTCCCTCTCGTTCTAGCTGACCATTTACCTAAAAGATATGACTTTTGTCGCTGGACAAAACTCCTAAGTGTTCTATTTCAACTACATCATTAGCTCGCGCATATTTTTTTTCCGCCGCCACCATTCTTTTTGTCGGCTGCTCTCCCACCAAAAAACGCTTTGAACGAGCCCGTATTGCCGCCCCCTTGTATCGGTCGCGATCGAGATTTTCGAGTTTGGCTTTCAAGTGGTTAATATCCTCAATGAAAACACCGGGTGCACGGCATTCTTCCTGTAGCAGCTTGTCTAAGTTTTTTCGGTACTCCAATTCTTGACTCTTCTCTTGATTCTTTAGGAGACAAGTCCTTTCAAGTGCAGCTAATTTCACCTTTTGTTTAAATGTTTCCCAGCGCTCGCTTGCACTGCCTCCTTTCAGTTGCGCGTCCCTCCAGATTGTCTTAATACAGGAAAGGAATGGTTCATCCTTTAAAAGTTTCGCATTCATTTTCCATAATTCCCATGAGAAACTGGCCCCCTCTTTCTTTTTACCTAATTGGAATGTGACAAGGCAGTGATCGCTAAAAGCAACGTAGTCTACAGAATAACTCCGACACAAATATACCAGATCCGATGCAATATACGCCCGGTCCAGTCTCGCGTGACTGACACCCTGAAAGTGCGTGAAAGGCATACAGTTTGACCGAGGCACACAGCATGCGACGTCTTCCAGAACAAAATCTTCAATAATGTTATTTAATTCTAGGGTACTGGCATCCCTATAGCGCGTTCGGTTGGACCTGTCTTCAGCTCGGCAGACACAATTGAAGTCACCCAAAATGATCAGAAAACGATCGGACTGGCAATGTTGGTAAACGTTTTGGAAAAAAGCCCGGCGCTCCTCAGCCTCATTAGGTGCATAAACACAAATGACACGCCATTCACTTCCCATAACAGAAAAATCACACATGACGAACCTCCCAGATGGGCAGGTCGTGACGGTTTGCACGGCAGCACCTAGAGATTTTCTGAGGAACAGGCAGCAGCCAGCCGAGAAACCAACAGCATGACTCACGCAGACTTCATACCGCGCCAGAAAAGGCCGCACCATGCAGTCGGTCTGGTCCTCGCTCTCGACTTCGGTTTCCTGAATAGCAACAATGTCCAGGTCATGCTCGGTGAACAGCCGGTAGAGCTGTTGCTGCCGTCGTCTGGCTGCAAGTCCGGGAACGTTCAACGTAGCCACGCGCAAGGCGTTTTCAAGGGAAACCATCGGAAAGCGAGTCTCAGACCTCGTACGCTTGGGTCACCTCTCGCCCTACCTGAGAAGAGACGAAGAACGGCTGCGGCCAGCGCGTCGTCCCCTCTTGCTCGTCACTACGAACCAGGGTCCCTCAGTCTGCTGGAGCGTCTGGTCGGTTCCCTGCTCCGGGTCGCTGAGCCGCCGCTTGATCGCCTCGGTCGCGAAGTCCATTGCTGTACCATCTCCGGCGTCCAGTGCGTCAGTGTCGTCCTTAGCTGCCGGTGTCGTCTCACTGGTCTTCTTCGCGTTAGGCTGATTATCACCGACAGTGCCTCCTGCCGTCAACGTTACGGTGGAGACCTGGCCTTTTGGCATCGCCGACAGCTCGGGTTCCTGCTCACCGGACTCTTGACGGTCTTGCGAAGAAATCTTCGCGGTTGGAGTCGCCGCCGACTCGGCCTCCTCCTCGTCCATTACGAGGTTTCTGTCCTGGCTGTCGGTGGTCTTGCTGGCAGCAGCTCGAGCGTACGACCGTACGCAATCCGAGGCCTCATGCCCGAAGGCTCGACACTCCTCGCACCTCGGCACTCTGCAGTCGCGCCGTATATGTCCCGTGCGTCGACAGCGGAGGCACACCGGCGCCCGTCCGGGGACGACAACCAGGAGCGGGCCTCCGTAGAGGCGGAGCTGATGCGGCAGGGACTCCGGTGTTACGCCTTCGCGGAGCACCATGCGGACGATGACGGTAGTGGAATCCACGTCTGCCAGGCCCTCGATTCTCCACTTCTCTCGGGTGACACCCTTGACCTCCCCGTATGTCTCGAAGGCCCGTCGAAGGGCGTCTGCAGTTACGTCGAATGCCACCCAGTGGACTTTTACCTTCAGCTCTCGTTTTTCTGGATCAAAGACCAGGCATGGTCGCCCCTTCACCAGCATGGTCCCCTCTCGCAGAAGCTTCACTTTGGCGAAGGCGGTGTGCAGCTTGAGCAGCCAGACGTGCCCCATTTGAAATGCGCCAAGTCCTGCTACGTCTTCCCGAACTCCCACCTGGTTCAGAGGCCCTACGAAGTCTTCAGCAAGGTACGGCCGCCCCCGGGTATCAGCGTGCAGCACAAGGCTGCATTTCATGGCTTCTCCTGTCGGCAGAGTAGGCAGTATCACTGCGTAGCCGTTGGAAACATCGCCGCGTACGGCATCACCGCGGCTCAGAGCCGCCGTCATCGAGCTCACAGCGGAGCGATCCATTCCACGTGCGCACGCTACTGCGCACGTGGAATTTTATGTCTTGCGTTTTTACCAAAATAGTTTATTCGCTCGCAGAAGCAATTGACTTTCAAAGTTTTTATCGGAGGGTTTTTCCTTTTTCCTCCTAATGATGTCCCCAGCCAAGCTACAACGACTTTCCACCGACGCGCTGGATGGAACGGCAGCGTTGAATTTCAGAAACAGGCTGTGCAGGGCCGGGTGAGCAGATGTCGGCATCTTCGGTGTCCATGACGAAGCATGTGAGGTTTGCTTCGGCTAGAGGATCTTTTATAACAAACTCTCCTTCTTTCTTTCTTCGGTGAGTGGAGATTGTTATGAATGGCCTCTCTTTATTGCCACGACGTTCGGAGAGTACGCGCGCTGAGCGAGTGCACCTGATCGTCAAGGTTTCACGTCATGCTAGTGCTACGCTATTGAAAAAAAAAATTGTTTTGGTTTAACAGGAAATGAAACGAAGTATACCTCGCCGCTGACGCCGGGTCCAACGAGGGGATCCCCCAAGGGTGACTCGCAATCCTTGCCAGCAACTACGGTGTCCTGACGCGCCTGACACACCTGACAAGTAAATCGTTTTCAACAAAGAGGAGGTCTCCCTGGCGTGAAAGGTCGGGAGGACACGAAGCATTACGTGAACGAGCATCGTCGCTCGTACAGTTGCAGCTGGAAGCAGGAACGTGCTCCCATGAACGAATTATCCGCGTCTGCGTTTGTGCGCGGGGGAGCCAGGCTCTGCAAGGAAGTATGCGCTGAGGGCGAGGCGATCATGGGAACAGGCGCCCAGCTGCAAGGCCATTCTAGTAGCGCCTCCCGAGGAACCCCCAAACCGCTTGAGTCAGATCTCACTAAAGACAAAAAACATGAAAACAACAACCCTCGGAGTGTCTCCGTCTTTCACGGTTGCAGATGCGTGCATTACCGGATTAGGTCAATACCCGACCAAGGTTTGTTAAGAATCTCTGCCTGCGTTCGTGCTCGCCGGTGTTATGTTTTGGCTGCTCGTCGCCACCTTGGCCCAAGGACGCCTGTGATGCAGAACGGAATGTGAGGGGGCCCCTTGTTCGGGAACGCCACTTCATCTGCCGGCGTCTTATTCATTTCTGCGCTCAAACTTTCGTGATGAGCAAAATTAGCACTAGATTTTCAAAATAGTTAGTAAGTTGAGTAGAAGTTACCTGAAAACGTAGTTAAATTAAACTACTAATTACAGAAATAAAGTTGTAACTGAAAGTTACCAAGTTACTTGGAAGAGTAGTTAAACTACAGTAGTTCGAGTAGAGTAGTTGAACTACGTTCAGGTGTGGTTGTCACCACAGCTGAAGCGTTCCGCTAGAGGCGCGACTTTTTGACCTCCTCCCGAATATAAGCCCCATTGGCTCTTCATATGCAAGTAATTTATCAATCATGCTTATCTAGACAGACATCGTATAATACTTTTGTTCTTTATTACAGAAAAAAAATTGTTTTTAGTGCCACCAAACAACAACGCTGCATGTCGAGGAGGTGCCAAGATAGGTCCTCGTTTAACTAGTCGGTGTACAAAAATTTCTTTACAAAGAGACTACCACCTCGATTTCGGTTGAGCTTATCAAAGATGGAAAAGTTGAGGAGAAGCTGCTCATACCATGAACCAAAATGACGACCATACGAGGAGCTTGGCGCAACTTTGTCAGGATCGCGTAAATCCACAACTTTTAAAACAGAAGTATAGGCCTGTAGCTCCCAAGGTTTGAACAATGCCACTAGAAAGCAAAATAAGTAGGTTTCCGAGGAAAAAGGACAGTGATTTTCGGCCCGGGTAAATAAGTTATGCATCGCAGAAAGCTCAAACTCCGTGAGAATGTGACGTTAGAAGTTGGGATAGACAAACGCAAAAGATTGAGAACGTAACGTTACTAAACTAAAAAATGAAAAAAAAAAAAATTAGAAACACGAATTTCGTTTGAGTCGACGTCTAGTTAACCCTTATACCGTCAAAACAAAAATTGACATTTTGAACCTTGTGGGATTTATATGAGTGAAAAACTCGTGTCAGCAAGTTTTTTCTTGCTGACAAGCTTTTGTTTACCGAAATAGGTGCTACAGGAAAAAAAAACAGCGTTACTTCTTATTTTTGGAGATGTTAGGCTTAGGAGGACGTCGGCTCAGAAAAAACTTTCGTCTTTCTCAATTATCTTTTGATCCAGGTAACGTCATGTTCTCAAACTTCTGGGTTCTTTCCCAGCTGCTATGACGTTCTCACGGTGTTTGAGCTTTCTGCTATGCATAGTTTACTCACCCAGTCTGAAAAAAACAAGGTTCTCTTTCCTTAACAACTGAAGGGTCGGTCCCCCCCCCCCCCCCACACGCACAAAAAAAAAGAAAACAAACAAACACACAACAACAACAACTCAAAAACATGTTTGTTTGTTTGTTTTCGCAAAAATAAACTAGGCTTTGCCGAACGCTCATTTTTCGCCCAAGTGTAGCGCTAGAGGTCCGAAACAGATGCCAAAGTTTCAGCGCTAACCATTATCTTATACAAAAATTATGTGCCTATCTGAAACTTCCAATGGGAACAGGGGGACCATTTTCTTCCGTCTTTGCTAACAAGCGCCCATGGAGCGCCACGTATTCGAGAACTCGGTCTGCCACTATTTTCCGAATTAAATTTTAAAAAGAAATCACCTCTAAAGTTTTATTAAGATAAAGGCTAGTGCTGAAACTTTAGCATCTGGTTTTGACCTCTACTTCTACATTGAAGCAAAGAATCAGCATTCGGCGATCAATAGTTTAATTTTGTCGTAAGAAAAAACAACCTTGTAGCTTTGTTTTCTACGCATATGTATGTGTCTGTGTGTGTGTGGGGGGGGGGGTACCTTCTATTTGTATAACATTTTTAGGTCCTCCTTACGCGTCTTTTGCGCCCAGCAGAGATACTCAAACGGATAGCAGACGACAAAACAAAACAAACATTCGCCTGCTTTATAATCAAACAGAAACGTTGGTATGAATCCATTTTGAAAAACAGCGCGAATGACACACGGACAAGAAGGAGAGAACACACAAGACGAGGTGCTGTCCTCGTCCTGTGTGTTCTCTCCTTCTTGTCCGTTTGTCATTCGCGCTATTTTTCAAAATGAAATTGCAGTGAGACCGCTGCTTCAGGACCCATGGTGAGCAGTTCAGCGAACCGCACTAGCTACACATCACACTGTCATAACAACATCATACAATATCAAAGGCGCATCCACCTGCTTTGAAATCGAGAACCGGTGTCCTAAAGCGCGTCTGCAGTTGATATCCGCCGTAACATGTTTTCAAAATGAAACCGCACCGGGAACGAAGCCGCCCATATGGCATACCTCTCAACGGAGTATACATATTCAGTTGACTACAACGATTTTATCGCATAATAATTGTACTTTTTTATATTGTATTCTTATTTTATTTAACGGGAATCCTTTATGAAGCGGATGTTCAGTTCAGTCAGTTTATGACAGGATGCAATCAAAATTCCAGCGCCGTGGTCACGAACTGGATGCCGTCATGAGGTGGGCTTCACGAGGGAGTATATAGTAGATGACAAATAAACAAAACAAAAATACGAAGAAACAATAACTAGACAACTTAAAAATAAAGGATTACCACAGGCACCTGTAGGTCTTAAAAAATGGAATTTTAATTTTTTAACAACGATGGATTTTTTTTTTCATATACACAAACACTGCATGTAAACTCCTTTGAAACAAAAAACAACAAAACCTTCTATACAGAACATCACGAGTCCTTCATTTACCTTTTAGTAAGGTAAGAACGGTACTTGGTTGTATTACGATTCTAAATATCTTGATCACTTAGAGATATGTGTTCCAGAAAATATCAAAATATCCATATTGAAAAACCGTCTTGGGGCCCACCAGGATTTGTGAAATATTTTGACGTACCCCTGAAACATCTTTGAGGAACTTAAAATTTCTGTCGAAGTTTTATAGGAGCCTACGTACCCTTTAAGAATTATTTTGAAGGGTGTATGAGACCCGTCATAGTTTTTTTAGAGGCTTGTGCGGTCTGTCCTATTCTTGAAACGTCAACCTATATACACTTTATACCTGTACGCTAGAAATACTCTACTATCTCGCGGATCGTAGAGTGACAAAGAGTGAATTTTCTAAAGCCGTCATGCACCCTTCAGAGAAGAAAGTCGTTCCTGCGCCACCTTCCCCTTGCGAAGTGATCTGTCACACTGGACGTGTCAACATGAATATCTCGACGGATGCTCATCTTCTTATCATAAACAATAATATGTTTGTCATTGGAATGTCGTGCCCTCGACAAGTGTATAAACGTGTCTGCTTTGTTCGGAGCAGTGTCGTGGCTTACTTGAAGAAGCTTTTGTTGCTGTGCGATGATGTAGGAACAATCCCGGGCCCCGGTTCTGATTTCAGTGAAAATACGAATCTGATCTTGCCCCTGCTGACCTAATTGCCCCAGGAACAAAAAAACATACTGCATGAAATTAAGTCCTCTGGTGAATGCAAGGCTGGTGTAGCGTACATTCACCAAAGCGCACATCCATATGATTTTTTTTATATTGAAAATGGCGCAAAAAAAGACGGGACAAAAAGTCAAAGAACCACACAGGACAAGCGGTAACTGGCAACTGAAGTGTTTTGGAAGCTTTCAAGTTTGCAATCGCTGTGCACGCTCGTAATCCTATTTCAACAGGAACCCGGCGTACCGCCAAATCAGTATATATAGCCCGCCCACCGCCTGTTGAAAAAGTTAGCAAAACAGGTACATCACCCTACCTATAAAATCTGAACAAGGAAAGGAAAACGTGCCGTGTTAATATTTACAAGCCAGATAGTGTTAATGAAGTTGTACTCTTTGGGTTG